TGGGGCGTTAAGAAATATTCTGCTTATTTGAGTTTATTTTTTGTGTTGTTTTTTTTTTGCTTGCTAAGTATTTGATTTTAAAGAACTACCCTGGGAAGGAAGAAGAGGGAAAAAACATAGTGAATTGGATCCATTAATATGTCACACTGCAGACTATCAAGAGAGAATTTGGTAAAATAATGGCCAATATTGTACTGTGATTCAACACTGTATAGAGAACAATTATACTATAATTGTTTCTATTTTTTCTCAGGAAATGCACATTAATGTGCTAATTAAACTTCAGGCACAGGGACCCAGCTTGCTAACTTTGCCATATCATGATCATGATCACTGTCAAGTACTGTTTAAGCATCTAGGATGTTGGCGCATTATGCCAAGATGTGGCAGTTTATTTAAATTATGCAACATATCTAGACATAGGGAAAATTATAAATTGTGAGCTCTGATTAACATTATGTTTCCATTTTAAAGTCTTTATTTATACTGAAGAACAGCATGACATCGGAGAAAGAACAAGGCCATTGTGCTGGGACAGACCCGAGTGACCTGGATAATGTCTATCATCAGAGCAGTGTTGTCATAAACTCCAGCACCATGTCGGTTACCTGAGATGTGCTCAGTGAAAGTTACTGTTGCTGTCGTCATAGCTATTGTTGTTCTTACTATTATATTATGATGATGTCACTTCGAAGGTAGATGAGCAGCTGAGGCACAACCCTCTCAACTTCATGGTGACCAGCAAGAAACTATGTCATCTTCCAGACACATAAAAGTAAGTTAAAGTGTTTTCTCTGTCTCTGATTAATAAACATTCCAAAAATAGAGTGACTATGTTTAGAAAAGCAAACCTTAAAGAAAAGTCTTTCTTAGAAACCCAAAGAAGCAAGCGCACAATGCCAGCCATCACAACACTGCATAAAATGCTCCAACAACAAACATTTTAGCTCAGTAGTCAGGCACTTTGACTTAGAGGGCGACGTTTTCATTGCAAAGTGATTACAGCTTAATGGAGTCTGCTGTGAGCAAATTAGGAAAAAAGAAGTGAGAGAAATCATGACCCCTATGTTTAATTAAACTTCTCCAGGTTGCTAATTCTTTTGCAAGTTGATTAATAAAGAGCGTGTGCCACCACGCTTTCAAAACTGTGACTATATGTGCTCAGTCATGGAATACTCAGACGGATTATCATAACTTGCTAAAAATAACTTACTTTGTTCTTAAAAAATGATGCATCTTAAAGCAAGACAAATATTGAGTTTAAATCTATCTTACTGCTTCCAAGATAAGTGAACCAAGATGTCAAAGGCTCTGGCTTCATCAGACGGAATAAAGTTCCTCCCCAGCTCCGTCCCTTAGTCACTGTGGAACTTTGTGTGAGCTACTTAAGTCTCCCTGGGGATCAGTTCATTCATCTGTACAGTGGGCTGGTAACAGTACTTACTTTGCAGGATTGGTGTAAGGACTAAGGGGAGTAATTCTACATATGCCTTGCGCACAGTAAGCACTCAATAAATGTTAATGTTCACTATGTACAAGTTACACACAAAATAAATAACTTGTAAGTTAATAATACGACAAACCCTTTCCGACAAATTACCCTTTATTGATACCACATCATCTTAATATTATGCTGTCCTATTCCCAGCAACTCAACAAATAAAAAATGACAATAACAAGGGAAATCTCTTTCAGGAATATAATTATAGAAATGCGAAAGATAAGACTGCAATAATTAATAAGGAATCAATGATTAAAAATGCAAATGTAGGATATTAACTGATTTTAAACATATTTGCCATTTTCATATAAAAATGCTGCACAATCTCTCCACAAACTGTCAGTATCGGCACTGAATTCAAGGTATCATAATTCTTTCCTTCCTAACATTTGGACCAATATAATATGTCCCTTATCCGAATTTTATCTTTTAGTTCTTTAGGCAGAAATATACGTCTAATACAACATCAACATTTATCCTCTGAGAATATTAAGGTGAACCACACTACTTGAAGAACATTCATTTTGGCATATTTGGTTACCTTTTCAATTTTTTTAAAGAAGAGCAATGGAGGCAAATACTTTGGACTTCAAAGTAGGCATTTTGTAAGTTCTGGAATTACATGGCCATCTTTGGGAACACAGCAGAAGACAAAAACAGATCATTGCTAATAGAAGCTAAATTACACCTTGGAGTTGAGCTACTACGAAAAAATCGATTCTGCCACAATAAAAATGGAACTGAACCAAGAGATTTTAGTGAGAATCATCTGAGTCCTTAGACCCCTTTAACAATGGGAGTGAGCTGGAATCCTCGCATCATCATTACAGGCTCATTTTCTTTGTTCAGTTCCCTTGATAAAGGCCTATAGAGAGGCACTGGCATTTTAAATTGCACAGTATCAAGAGCTGAATTTCTTTTCTTTTTTCTTTCTCAGGTAAAAATATTTTCCCATATTACTAGAAGAATGCTTTTGAGGGCACCACTGTGAATGTCTAGAGAACCGTGAAGGCCGCGCCAGAGGGTGAGGGCACTGACGAGGGGAGGGAAGTTACCTGCGGGCACTTGCTCCACGGGCCCCACTCGGACATGACACATTCATTGGGACACAGAAGAGAGCAGGGCTGGGTTTCTGGGGGCATTTCCGCCTGGTCGCAAAGGCTGCTATTTACTGCTCCACCTTCACTGGCAGCGGTGTTCACACATCTGTAAGGCAAGACCACAGCATACTGCGATGACTTAAACGAGGAGAGAACATTTTCAGTACTTAGGATGCATCATAGCTATTTATTCCTCAAACAGAAACGTAAGGCCAGCAGAGACACAGGGGGAAAACTCCAGCTGGCCTTTACGGAGTGATAACTTAGTGCCAAATCTTCTATTCAGCAGAGCTGGAAGGAACAGTGGGGACCAGAGACAACTACTGTCCTTGAACAACCCTCAGTCTAAAGAGACCTACAATATATTTGCTCAGGTCCAGGACAGAGTGAATTTTCTTTTTATTGTAGCAAATCTCTAAGGCTTTCTTTCTCTGCACAAATTCCTCACTTTGTAACAGCTGGAGTCTTCCTAGTTCCCACGATTCTCTCAGAACTTTCCTAGACTTCTATCTCATATCATCTAAACCTCCCTAATCTTTGTCCAACACATTTAAGGTCATGGCAAAGTAAAGTGAAAATTAATTGAACATGTTTTTCCATAAGGAGCTTTGTGATGGGACACCACAGGGCAATAAGCAAGCATTTTTGTGCAGCACTTGGGCACATGGTACAGATGCACACATTACAGTTGTTTGGACTCCCCAGGGCGGGGCTTTGAGATAAATGCTGGTGACGGCTAGATAAATGGTCATGCCATTGATTCCATCAAATGAAAACCAAAGTCTTATACCACTATATACACCCACCAGGATGCCTTAAATAAAAAGAAACATATCAGGGTTGGCAAGAATGTGGAACAATTTTAACTCCTCTTACTCTGCTGGTTGGAGCACAGACTCTTTGGTAAGCTAGTTGTCAGTATCTACTAAGATTAAACATATACATATTGTGTATCCTAACAACCCCAATTCTATATTCATCTGCAAAACAAATGAGGACAAATGTGCACCAAAAAATGACTGAAAAGGTTCATGGCACCACTATTCATAGTCAATCAAGCCAGAAGCAGTTTATCTAGAAATCTATCCAGCAACAGTAAAATAGATAAATTATGTTAAATTAATCAAATTAAATGCTATAAAGTGTTGAGAATGCATGAACTACTGTTATATATAAGACCATGGGTAAAGCTTACAAATATAATGCTGAACAAAAGAAGCTAGACACAAAAGAATGTTTACTTTATAACTCCATTCATATAAAGTTAAGAAACAGACAACACTCATCTATGGCCTTAGAAGTCAGAGTAGTGACCACCTTTGGGGGAATGGTTACTGACTGACAGGGCTTAGGTAGTCCTGGTAGTATTTTGTTTCTTTGTCTCTAGGTGGTTACACAGGTGTGTTCACATTGTGAAAATTCACCAAGTTGCACCCCTATTATGTGGGCATGTCTCTGCATTTATAGTATACACAGATTAAAAGATTTGTAAATTATTTTTTCAAAAATGTTTAATAAAGACTTGTTACGGGGAAACTCTTTTGCTAGTGTTGGATGCTGGGGTATAGAACTGAAAAAGGAGAGGCAAGATCTTTATTGCTACAGATCTGTTCTTCTAGTGGTAATGATCAGAGTGAAGGTGAAGATGACGTGATGATGAGCGAAATGGTGCCACTTGCTGATCTGGTAACTTCAGATACAATGCCACAGCCAAGGAGCGAGCATTTTAAACACCTTGCTGACCAGCCAGGAGTCTATACATGTTTCCATATAGAACACTGCTGACAGGCCATGAGATAACTCATGTCTGCACTTACATTAATTGAAGTAATTTTAAACACCTCGCTGACCGGTCACGACAGAAAAGTAGCCAGCCAGCCTCATGGGTGAGTTCTGGCTCGAAACGGCCGGTCAGCAATGGAGGGGTGTGCAGGAGAGACTGTGGTGCTCCCCAAATCACGCTGTGCTGAAATGAATTGTCCTGTACGTTAGGAATTTCTTTTATGTGTGTGTGTGTGTGTAAAGAATTATTTAAAATTTCAGGAAACTTGTAGTCTATCACCTGTAACAAAATAAACTTTATTAGGTACTAAGTAATGGGAAAGTACTGTATAAAGGAGGGTGTCAAAGAATTTCAGACAGAGGGAAGACATAAGTGTGTAATGCCTTCTAATACATGGAAGCTTGGTATAGAGTTGTCCATGGACTTTAATTTTTCCTGCAGTAATAGTCCAAAGTGGAAGGAGGGACCACAAGATGGCTTAGTTGTCTTTCCCTGGACAAACTTAAAAGCTGGAAATTGCTTTTCTTCTTCAGTGCATACTCTCAGCTGATGTCCTTTTATTATTTCACTAAGAAAGAAGAAGCGAGACTTCTGGTCAATGGTATCCATTTGAACTGATGTATCATCTTTGTTCACTCTCAATATGCCACAAAAACAATACTAAAAAATGTGATACACACACACACCAGGGTGGAGAGAAAGGCACTACCCTGCAATGACAAAGAACAAAGAGAAAACAAAGGCAAGAGAAGGAAGATGGATGGGCTAGTGGTAGCTGCCTTAACACACCAAGAAAACTGAATGCTAAACCTTCAAGGGAAAACAAAGAAAGTCACTCCATTTGCATCATAGAACACATGAATTACTTGGGGATTTGTGGCACTAAGTACCTCTGGGAATCTGAATGAAAGCGAGGCTGAAAAACTGGAGAATTTATTGAAATTATGTTTAAATACCTATGCCCTCAGATCCCCTCCCCCAATCCACTCATGGAGGTGATGGTCCCTCCTGCTGCTGCAGGTAACTGAAGGTTTATTAGCTAGAAAGGGTCACAAAAAGGGCCTTTGAATTAGAAAAGACACGGTCCCCAAAATATTATACTGAAAATGAGGATTTAAGTTAAAGTTAACATACTGAAAAAATTACCACAAACTTAGTGTCTTAATGCAAATCTATTATCTGGTAATTCTGTAGTACAGAAATCCACTGTGGATCTCACTAGGCTAACTCAGTGCTTTTGCAGAGTTACATTCCCTTCTGGAGGCTCTAGAGGGGAACGCATTTCATTACCTTTTCCAGGTTAGTAAAAGGAATCATCTCCTCCTACCTTGTTCTGGAAGGTTACATGGCTGGTTACACCAGCCATCCGGGGCAGCTAGATATTCATCTTGTTATAAGAAGCCAATAAGGTTCCAGCTTTGGGCACTTCCTCCCTGGAATTCTCTTTCTATAGATTCTCACGTTCATCGGGGCATCACCTCAAATATTTTGCTGATCAATCTCCCCTAAATAGTATCCCCCATCTCTCTGACCCAATTTTATGTTTCTTCTTGGCATTTCATGACAAAGACTTTCCAATATACTTATTTATGGTTATTTTTCTCTCTGCTACTGTGCTGAAAGTAACTTTGAGGACAGGAACTCATTCACCTTTTTTATCCCCAGTTCCTAGAACAGTGCCTGGTAATAGAAGGCAAATATTCAGATATTTTTTAAATGAATAAGTGATAACAATCATGGATGAACCGTGAACATGTCCTCATCTGTAGGTTTAAGAAAGAGATAAGCAGTTTCTTTCATTAAAGGAGCATGCTGTTAAAGTCAATAATGGTTTGGAATGCAAGATGCCTGGAAAATCTGCTTCACACATCGAAATGTGATCATTCGCATGAATCATAAGACACAGTGAGTATGTGTGAGATAGTGAGGGGATGCCATAACAAAATGCCACAGACCGGGTGGTCTAAACAACAGAAATGTATTTTCTCACAATTGTAGAAGTTAGAAGTTAGAGATCAAGGTGTTGGCAGAACTGATTTTTCCTGAGGCCTCTATCCTTGGCTTGTGGATGTCCCTCTTCTCCCTGTGTCCTCACCTGGCCTTTTCAGCTGGGTGTGTCTGTGTCCTAATCAATCTCTTCTTCTTATGAGAAACATGGCAACCCAGTCAAAACCTCCTAGTTTATTAAGAGTGATGGCCGTGAGTCAGTGAAGGGATGCCAGCCTGCTCCATGCAGTTGGCTTTCCCACCAAAGTCATTTGCAGGAAACGGTAAGGATTGTGGCTTCACTGCAGAGGAAATCCCACCACACCCACGGCAGTTCAGGGCACAGATGCCCCATGGATACTTAGAGATGAGCAAAAGCCAGAGTGTACTCTGTGAAAATCAGAGAGTACTTGGATAAACAGCACTGTGGTTTTGACAGAAATGTGTAAGCTCCACTGCCCCCTTCCCGAATGGCTCCATTTCCGCACACACCTGATTTTCCTGGACTGCGTTCCTGCCCCGCAGCGCGGGGACCTCAGCTCATTGTGGGTTTTGCACGGAGACCAGTGTTCCACGACCCAGGAATACTGATTGCACTCGCTGTAACACGGGACTGCCTCATGCACCTGCGAACAGGAAAGAAAAAAATATGTTAAACTATCCAAGTTATAAAAAACTTACCTCTTTTTGTAATGCCTGCTGAACATAACCCAAGAACTACAGTCTGGTCCAAACAGCCAAATTACATTCCCAAAAGCAAGATATATTTGGCTTCTCTGAAATTACTGACTTGCCTAAAGAAATATACAGGGGAAATCAACTAAAATATGATGGTATGCCTTTGCAGAGGAGAACAAAGGACGGTCATTTCCTATCAATGGGAATAGGAATTCCATTATCATTTCATTTCCTCAAAGAGCTCACACAGCATCTATTAGATGGCTCAGCTCTCAATTATATTGTGTATCGTATTCTCAGATGTACTTTAAGATGTCAAGTGAAACAAATACATGTAAGGAAATTTACTCTTGAACAGAAGAGGTTTTTAGAATGCATAAGAAAAGTGGTATTTTTGCACCAAAAATTTCTTTTTATGCTCCCAAGTGATCAATGCTAACAGGCAATCATTTAGCCTCCTGGGCATTATGGCTTCATATGAATTTAGCTATTTGCAGGATGTTTTCTGAGCATAGCTAACACGCTAACACACACACATACACACAGACACACACACACACACCCCAATGTTGCCTGTTAGAGGTTACGCATGATTACTGACTGTGAATACTTACAATTTCATGGTAAATTCAATGAATGCCATAAATGAGTTTGTGATGATTTTTCCCCTGAAATTGTATCCCAATGGGTAGTCAAATGAGTTTGCCTCTTTGAGGTTGAATTTAAAATGTATTAGTTCTCAATATAGAGCACAGTGTCCTCCCTCAATAAGACATTGTTTCATCGTGTGATGTCACTCTAGGCCACAAGGATGGCTCTAGCACAACATGCTGATAAGGAGTGGTTCAACCCATTACCAGAATAGTTCATTAACCCCTTTCCTCTTAAATAAGAATGTAATCGTGGGTCCTTTTCTCCCCTTGCCTTTCTAATTCCATAAAATTGTAAATGATGCCTAGGCAGGGCCGTCCAAACAGAACCATTCCCTCCGAGTTCCTGCTAAATGCAAGGGAAGGCGCTATGTAATGGGATAATCAGAAAACAAGATTGGAGCACTGTCAGCATGTTAGATGGAAATCAAATGAGAAAAGGTTATTTGCGAGACTACATCTTTGGAATCACAAATAATGTCAGAAACTATTTTTAACTGCGGGGTTCTATTTGGCTCTCATGTCGAGTGCACAAGGATAAGGGGAAGCACCAAGTGGAAAATATGTGAGGGCGGAATGAAAGGAGATGGAAAATAGAAGTGGAAATGGGTGTAGGAAAAGTAGGGAATTATGTAATAAAAGAATCACATTTCCCGTTGTGAATGCTGACAGGAATAAAATGAAGGGGTCAGAAGCAGTGCCTACATTAGAATAACTTGTAAAGCAGAAAAGTGCTCAAAAAACTCATAGGATACTAGAGGTAAGAGAAAAATCTATAAAAATGCAAAGACATGACCCCAACCAGACAGACACCAGGAAACTGAGCTGATGATAGCTGAAGGTTTAGCTGACCCAACCGTGCCGTGGAAATGAAGCTCTCACTAAATTTATAGGTTATATAAACTCCTCAATATGTAGCAGACAATTCAAAGAAAGCTCGTTGGCTTGTATAGGAGATACAAGGAAGCCTGTCAAACCACTTTGCACAAACAGGGGATGGGAGGAAAAAAATAAATTAAAAACAATATCCCCCAAACCTCATGATGTCTCAATCAGTAAGCGAATGGATAGGATATTCTCCCTGAGATGATCCTACTTTTCTAAAGCTATCAATACTAAGCAGAGCTTATATTTCTACCCTCCCTCCCATATAAAGCCCCAAGGTCAGATGGGAAATGAAAAACTGGTTAGTCGCATGTACCTCTTATATAAACATGTGAACACTTGAAGATATATTGGTTTGCTGCTTTTATTTTTTTATGCTCCAGTGATCTCTACCCGTGGCAGAATAGCTAACCTCAATGACAATGACAATGAAGATAGGGAGCAGGTCTATGTAGGAAGATTTTGACCTACCTTCTTGATTAATGGTGTAAAAGCAGTTCCTCTCAAAGAAGATTCTCCAGTCACGTGGACTTATTTGACTTTCCTCCCATACATATCTGCCATTTTTTATAATTTTTTAAAAATATGTTTTTATGGATTTCAGAGAGAAGAAAGGAGGGGGGGAGAGAGAGAAACGTCACTGGTCGGCTGCCTCCTGCACGCCCCCAGCTAGGGATGGAGCCCGCATCCTGGGCGTGAGCCCTGACCGGGAATCGAACCCCGATCACCTGTATCCTAGGTCGATGTTCAACCGCTGAGCCACGCCCGGCCAGGCAGCATCTGCCATTTTAATAATGTTCACACTGTCACTTCTTTCAAATCTCTACCCTTCCCTCAAAGCACAGTAAATCCCACCACTTCCATGAGGCTTTCCCCATATTTCCAGTTGGGGTGTCTTTGGGACTCAGTGACAGTCTCAGTTTTAAGTGGACTTGTCACTACATTATAATGTCAGATACACATCACTTTCAATTCCTCCATATGCCTCCCATTCTCTCATACTAATTCAGCCCTTTTTTCTCCTCACCTTAGTCTTAATACCATATGTGTCTACTTTTATCTTAAGTAATATTAAGAGAATATGCTCAGAGAAACACAATTTGCAATCTCCATACCTAAATATGCTTCATTAGCATATTTAACCAGAAGTCAGGTCTGGACTAGCAGTGCTTATTTATGTGACTAATTAAAACAAACAAACAAACAAACAAAAAACAACTTGTGTGTTTTTGGCAGGCAGGTATAGAGTTTCCATGATGTCTATATTTCACAAGACATGGAGAGGAGGGTAGTGCTCAATAAGAACGTGTTGAATTAGAACTAATTTTTGAACATGCCCCAGGTTGCTAAATGGCTCTTAGTTAATTCTCTAGAGAAAACAGGCCCACTAAATGGAACGCATAAGAGGTATTTACAAAGCTCACAGGCAGTAAAAAGAAATAAAAATGAAACCCTTTCCTTCCCCTATGGGGCTTTGGTGAAGAGCAGCAATCTCTGCATCATCCAAAGGCACTGCTGGATTATTTTGTTAAAGGGTAAAAAGGCCATCCCTTAGCAACTGTGAGAATTGTCTCCTTAGAGCCCTTGTCCCTCAGGCAAGGGAACTTACCTAGAGGATCCAAAACACCTGGCAGAGGCAAAAAGGCAGTGGGCATTCAAGAATAAAAATATACTACCCAGACACCCAATTTCTTCCCCTGCCAGTCCTTTATGTTCTGCCTATTTCATATTGCTATTTAGTTGGCTGCTTATTATAGTTTTATAATGGAAATGTGTTAAAACATGGACTTTATCAGGGAATCGTATGGAAATGTTCTGAAGGAGAGAAATGAGCCATGGGAAAGTTAAATGAAAATCATTTTTTAATGGCATGAATTAGGAAGAAAATAGGGCCATTGATGCTAAAAATGCCACTGAAAAGTCTAGATCCTCTGAGAGAGGAAACATTACATTCTCCTACACTCTCCTCGTAATGAGTCCTATTTATTACTTCTTCATTGGGGAATTGTGTTTTTATAATTTTGCTAGTACTGGAGTCATGTCATAAATGAATTCATTGAGTCAATCTTTTAATATTTATTAAGTAGGCCACTGCTCATGGTAATTGATCAGTTTAATTAAACTGTTTCTTGATACCACTCTCCAACTACAGACTGACACCCCTGAAAAAAACTGGAATCTAATTGGGCATCAGTGAACGTCATTATTACATATCAAACCATAGGGTTCAAGGGCTTAGATAAAGCAAACAACCTAACAACACAATAAAACAAAGACAAATCAAGGGAAATTCATAGTATCAACCTTTCTGTAGCAATAGCCCTTTGCTTCAGTGAAGCTACCAGTCGAGACCTAGGTTGAAAGCTTCAGGGTTGAGACCTACATGCTGGGCACTGTGGCTACTCTGTCAAATTTGAAAATTGGTTCAAAGGCCCATCTGGGACCATAGTCAGGGGCTGTCCCATTGGAACGTGAGAAGAATTGGTCCCCAGGACTGGTGAGATCAACAAGCATTAAGGACTCCTCTCTCCTTCAAATGTTACGAGCTTTTAACATGAGATGTACAAACTGGCCTCTGATGGGGTTTGGGTCATTTCTTACCATGCTTCCTCCTCCAGGCCTCATGCTTTCCCTTCAGAAGGACCTTCTAGCTCAATTTCCCATACTTAGCTCTTTTCTTATTCAATCAGCAACTAAGTTATACTCTCCTCCATCAGGGCCTGTCTGACTGGCTGGAAAATATCACCTTTACACAGTTACCCATTAACCTTTGCTTCCATTTTTATTAATCTTGCATGTAAGTCTGTTTGTTCACAGTGTAGCATGTGCAACTGAACCCACAGGCTTTGCCATGTGCCCGTCAACAGTCCCTGGTCAGCACAATAATTCTGTGTAAAAGGCTATAGCTTATATAAGACATTCTATGTCTCAGGTCTGGATTATCACCATCATTTGAGTTAGACAAGATTGGTATGATCTCTATTTACAGGTAAAAATAACTAACATTTGAAGAAGCTAAGTAAGTCATTCATGGCTGGTGTCCAAAATGAGATTGAGAATCCCAGTCTGGTGACAATAATTGTGCACAGGCTGCCTGTTTGGCTGGTTCAGGGACATCGCCGTGCTCTGAGAGAGAGTCAATATCATCTCAGTGACGAAGATAACATTAATATTTATAAGTTCCTGAAAAAGGGAAACCAAGAACAGAATTTTCAAATATGCCTATGTAGTAAACGATGCCTATTACTTTATATAGCCAAAATACTGCATGAGCAATGCACTCCTTGTCCTTGGCTCCTTTCACAATTTCAAAAACTCAGAAAGTGTCTCAGAAAACTAACTTTCATGTTTAAAACAAGAGCAGGCCTAAATGTTATAGATGGTTACAGTCCTTTTTGTGAATATGGCAGGTT